GAGCGAACGAACGAGCGAGAGACAGAGAGAAGAGAGAGAAAGAAAGAGAGAGAGAGAGAGAGAGAGAGAGAGAGAGAGAGAGAGAGAGAGAGAGAGAGGGAGAGACAGAGGTCACGAGAGAGCGAGAGCGAACGAGAGAAAGTGGAGATAAATAGGCATGAAGAGAGAGGTAGAGAGAGATCACGAGAGAGCGAGAGAGAGGAGAGAGGGGGAGAGAGAACGCGGGAGAGCAAGAGAGCGAGAGAAAGAGATAGAAATATAGATATATACATACATACATACATAGATAGATAGATATTATATATGGGTATACGTATATTATAGAGGTCGCTGGCGTATCTTTAAATGTTTAAATTATTTTGATTAATGATCGAATAACGGCCAAACTGGCTTCGGACACGTGACGACATTGTTCGCTGGGTCATTACTCCATTTTCTCTCGTGGGATGTGCACGCGGTCCGTTATCGCTTACAACCGCCACGATTACAGGTAACATAATTAATGCATTGTACATGTGATACTATAAATATCACTGTTATTATATATGCTCAGTGATATATGTGTTTTATATAAAAGTAATTAAGTTATTCGAAAGACAGCTATAGGTGAATGGACCGCTTGTGGGCGCTTCAGTACGTATAGTACGTCCTGAGTCCCCATTTAAACCCCTCGCTAAGCAACAATTAAGCAGGCGCGAGTTCTGTGTATCTCGCTTTTATATATTTTTTTATTTATTTATTTAGGCAATTATATCCATCATATAATACAATACATAGCATACTTTTATAATAAATTCTGAATTTATAAAATTGGATAACTACCAAGGATATATACACAAAAAGCATGACTAGCACACTTATTTTAGTTATTTACATTGTGGTCCTTAATTGTTTTGCTATGCCTTGCTGTTACTAACAATTACACTACTATCAGCACTAACTATTAAAATATACAAATTTGTAGTTTTAACCGGTCATACAATAGTACATTCTCATAAGACGATACAAACTTTTCTTATACCTAATTTCAACCAAATTCATTTAGCGAAACTCATAGTCCTCTGCCTCTAATGTTTCTACCTTTTCAATCAGTCATTTTTTAACACTATATCCTATACTTAAAATTAGAATAAACAGAATTTGTCCTAACTTGCTGTGGTAGAGAGTTCCAACTTCTAAGCTTCAATTTCAGTATAGGTAAGAGTTTTCCCCACCCGGGGTTTAAATATAGACATCTCACGTTCCCTTGTATTGAAACTATGGACTTCCGACATAGGAACATGAATCTTTCTGTTATATATACTGTGGGCCGAGATTATGTAATGTTTTAAAAACCCTGTTGAACTTACCCAGTTGCATTACCCTGAACTCTACGGGTACCCAATTTACAGCCTTGAACTCTCTAGCGCCTATACATGTGTGCTCTATAGTACTTAAGTTGAGAACACATCTAATGGCTTTATTTTGACTTGTAACTTTTAGTCCTTGCGCGCTTTGTGAGACTGCTGTACCAGACACTGCTTGCATAGTCAAAATGACATTGAATTAGGGCAGAAACTATAGTAATCTTTTACATGCCGTGTTTAATTAATTAGCTATTCTGGAAAAAAAATTCGATCTATTGTTAACTTTTTTTACAACCCGTTATTTCACCACTCATGGAGTCTTCCAATTCTATTCCTAGATACTGTATTTTATGTGCAATTGCCACCCTATTACATCTGATGTCCAGCTTTGGATTATCCCTGAGTTTGTGTTTCGTTCCAAAAATAATACTTTATGTTTTTCCAAGATGCAAGGATAAGTTGTTGTCATTGATCCATTTGTTAACGGAATGCAATTCTCTACTTAATTCTTCCTATATAGCCTGTACTTCTGTTCCTGAAACTACTTGGGCCGAATTGTCAGCATATAATAAAAGCTTGACGTTAACTGCCTTTGCCATGTCATTAACATAAATCAGAAATAACAGAGGACCCAAAAGCGAGCCTTGTGGTACTCCACATGTAATAGGGTCCTTATTAGAGAAGGTACCTCCTACATTAGCTCTAGAACTATAGCCCTCCGCTCCGCTTTTTAGTAAAATTTTATTGTCAACGGTATCAAAAGCTTTTTGAAGATCTAATAAAACCATACCAGTTAGATTTCCTTTGTCAGACTCATTACGAATAAAATCAGTTAGATGGATTAAACTTGTGTCAGTTGAAAAATTTGATCCAAAGCCAGATTGAAACTATATATAATTGTGATAACATAACTTAATTCTTACTACAGCAATATGGTTCGATTAAGATTTTACAAGATATATATAGCTTGAAAATGAAATACAAATCTCTATTCTTTCTTTGTAAACGCTTGTTCGTTTAAGATTTGACAAGATATAGAGAGTTTAATATATATAAATATTTCAGAAATTATCGTTTTTAGTTTATCTATATTTGCTTCAATTCATAAATTTCGTCAATTGTTCGTTGTCGCATTTTTATTGTTTTCAGTATGGACAGTCGTCGACGTGGTCGTTGGAGCACGCTGGAGTTTCAATTAAAGGTAAGGATATAACACAAATTTACGAATATTAATTATTGTAAAGAATTAGAGTAGTAAGAAACTTGAAAATGAAAAACGAATCTATCTTATTTCTTTGGTAACGCTTGTTCGATTAAGATTTGAGAAGATATAGAGAGTTAAATATATAAATATTGCAGAAGTTTCGTTTTTAGTTTACGTATGTTTGCTTCAATTCATAAATTTCGTCAATTGTTCAACGTCGCATTTGTTTTCAGTATGGACAGTGGTTGCCTGAGAAGTACTACGTCACCTTCACGACATGAGTAAGTAAGAGAAACCCACGTGATAAAAATGGCTTCATTCGATACAGTACACTCGAATTATTAAAGGCCGGAGATAAAACACTTACGCACGCACACTCACGAAAGAAAGCACGCACGAACACGCGTGTGCATGCACGCACACATACAGGCTCACGCGCATGCGAACGTACACATGCGCACGCACGCACACACACACACACACACACACACACACACACACACGGCCCCTACTACGCTCACCTCTGTACGGCATGAGAGAGAAGGAAGGAAACCCAGCCGTGATAAAAATGGGCTTCAGTGTCGATTCACAGTTACACTCGAATTATGGAGAAGGCGGGAGATAAATACAGTTCTACGCGACGCACTGGATCTGCACCGGGATAAGAAAGCAGCCGCGCACGAGACAGGGGCGTGTGCAGGGTGGCGTGGTGGGGGCAACGGGTGGTGGGCGGGGGTGCGCACACATACAGGCTCACTGCGCATGCGAGACGTACACTGATCGCGCTACGGCACCGCATCGACACGCACGCACGCACACCCAAGCCACACACACACACACACCACACACACAAGACCCGACACACAACACACACACGTGCAGCACACAACACAGCCACCATCACACTACACAGTCCGACCAGAGCAGCCATAGGGTACGACAATACACGGGAGCAAGATGACGATTCGCCTCTTCAAACCACTGAAATACGCTCCCGTGAGGCTGAGAAACAGCTCCCGTAAAAATTTGACAAGAGCTTATTTTTCCACAAACTTGAAAAATAAGCTCCGTAAGAAAAAAAAGGTACTTTTTTCCTGCACACACACACACACACACACACACACACGAGCACACACACACACACACACCAATCACACCACACACACCCACACACACACACACACACAGTTTACTGACATCAATATTTAGAAAATTTGAAGGTTTGATTTGTTGGTTAATTTATGAGATTGTGTTGTTACAAATCAACATAAGGCTACAATCATAAACGTAAGTGTCAATATGTCGTCCCGATTAGGAGTTGTACGATTAAATAACTATTGAGCCGTTTAAATACAAATTCGTTCAGATAGTTGGACGTTTGATTTTTGTTAATCTATATAATTGTGTTATTATAAGTCACAAAATTCGCTCGCCATTGTATCGTGTTTCTTATTTTTAACAGGCTGGAGTTCGTCAGGACATGCGGTGGTTAGATACATAGCTGGAGTTTACGCGTGAGAAGGCGCTATAAACTGCGAAAGTAAGAACTGTCATACAATAATAAATTTACTAAGTAATAACTGTAAAGGCAGTTAATATGCAGCAGTAGCTGGGAAAACGAAGATAATTCTCTCATTGCATTCGTTGAAAACGTCTGCGGCACCCCGTGTCATCTATCTCTACGTAAACTATCATACGAACTAAGACTGTAATGTGAAGGTATGGAGTAATTTTTTAATATATTTCTGGTTTGACATGGTGCTGTGGAAAAGTAAGTGGCCTACTGGCGTAAACGGTCAACATAAGTGGTCACGCGTAGAATGAT